TAAAGCTGTGAGCCACAATTTTAAATACATTTTAATTAGGGAGGAGATTAGAAGCTTTAAAAATTTATTTGAATGCATTAGTAATACTAAGTGAATTTTGTATTGTAATTTTTAAATTACTTATGAAAATTTTCAAAATTTTCAAAATTTTATGGGCTACTGTAAAAGGATAATAGAAAAATATTAGTTATATTATATATAACAAAGTAAATTTCTAATTTTCAATCTGGGTATCAATTGTTAGAATTAGATTTTTTCATTTTTGCCATCTTAAATATTTTGTAAAATGCATTCATATCCTAACAACATTCAAATAGCTTAAAGGTCAATTATAAATATAAGCAAATATATTTTAAACTTAAATATATTATATTTAATTGAAAAAGACCATATTGGAAGGAGACAGATTAAAAATACACCAATTAATATGACTACCAACTGTATTGAATTCATTTTGTCCTCAAAATCTATATTCCATGTAAGAATCCATCTTCTTTACAACTCTAATCCTATCGTATATTTAATTATTAAACTACAAAAAAGTCAACATTTTGATTATTTTTTCTTAGATCATCTCTAAATGGATCGATTCCCCAATTAATTTTGCAATCTATTAAGTCAACATCTTTCTTTTTATCAGTTATTGGAACGAAATTTTTATTTTTTCAAAATCTCATTTAATGTATTATATCTATTTTTGATAATTGAAATTTGGCTCTCTTAATTTGAAACCACTTAGTTATTAATGATAATTTTGATAAAGAGGTTAAACTATTTCTCAAAGTTTATCTATGAATTAACTAGTGAATATAAGAAAAAAAAATAGTAATAATAAAAATATTTTAAAGTATTAAATCAAAAATTAAAAATATATAATTATTTGAATAATGGAATAATAATAATAATGGTTGCCTCTTAGTAAATAAATCTTAGAATAAACTAATTAAGAAACAGCATCTAAATTCTACGTTTAATACTTAAAAATTGCTAGTTATTATAAAAGAATTATTGATTTACATAATTAATTTAAATATAATATACTTAATTGTTTCAGAATTGTGCAAAAAGTAATTCAGGTTTTAATCTAAAAAAGGGATTAATCTTTAATTGATTCTGAATCTCTTTAAATACATTCGATTAATTACTTATTAGATTTAACATTACTATATTTGAAGAATATGCTTCGGCAGTATTTTAACATTTTAGGGAAAATGGAATTACTTATTGGCAATTTAAAAATTCTTTAAGATTAGATTGTTATTATAATTAATTTAAAAAGACTTAAGAAACATTAAAGAAAATTGATTCATTTTTCTTTTATTATTATGATAATGTTCTATCAGAGAGACTTTTACTTACTTTTACTTAGTTAGAAATTAAATGTATTTTATTAATTAATATTATAAAAGATTATTTTCAAAAAAGGGTTTGATAAAAAATGGAGTAACTGGAATATATGGAGCCAGTAATATAGTTTGGATTCAGGCAGAAGTATTTTTTTTGACGATTAAAAATTCTTCGTCTCAATTAGGGATTGGTAAAGGGGTTTTTAACACATTATAATACAATCTAAAAGTATTCATTTAAACTTCTATTATTTAGTCATAATATCTTACACTCACTCTAAAATTGTTTATTTAAATTTCTATTATTTAATCAAAACATAACACTTTAAAAAGTTTGTTCTTAAAAATTTCTATTATATAATCATTATCTTAAATGATGAT